GTGTGTCCCAACGACCCGCTCGACTTCAGATATCTGTGCATGCGCGCGTGCGCGCGTGTGAGATCATGATGAAGGCCAGCGAAGGAAGACGTACCGCTCGAGGGTCATGAAGTGGTGATGGTCCCGGCCCTCTCGAAACGAAGCGTGAATGTCGAACTCGGTGAAGCGCGCCTGCACCTCCTCCAGCGTGTACTTGGGCAACAGCTGTTGAGGGAATATGTGCATTATAAAGTCATACACTATATTATACGAATATACACTATAGGTCAATCAGAAATCATAGAAGAGAGGCGCATACGTGGGCGTGGGGCTCCACGTGGGGCCAGGCCTCGGGGAATGCATCGCGGACGAGCTCAAGCACTCCGTCCCATGTGGCCTGCCTCGCTTGCACCTCGGGGAACAGGCACAGCCTGAACCGATAGCCCTCTTTTTGAACACGACACATTCCATGTTGATCAGCTCACACGCGCATTCGCTGATGAATTTAGTAATCATTTCTTGAAATATATATCTAAATTTATATCTAAATATATCGAAGGGCCAAGTACTGTCGAGGGTGCGGCGGAGCCAGGGCGTGTCCTTGCCGATGGCCAGCAGCATGTCCCGCGGGCTCTTTCCACACAACTGCTCGAGGCCATCCGGCCCCACCACCCACGACAACCTGGAATGTACATTGTATGGAATAGAATGTTGTAAACAAACAATACAACATTGTCCAACATACATGTCGATATTAAGTTAGAAACACATCACTCGCTTGCACAATTGTAGGGGAAGGCAGTAGGAGTACCGTTTGGTGGGTCCGTCGCTGAGAAGGCGGAAGTCGTCTTCGGTCCGGCCCTTCGTGACGCGCCCGCAGATGCCACGCACGCGTCGTCGCCCGAGCCCCTCCTGCCGCTCGAACAGCTCCGCCAACTCGTCGATGTCCTCCACCCACTCCACCACTTCCATGTCCGCAGCTCAACTATCTTATTTGTAATTTCAATTGAAATTAAAATTGCTTTTTTTTTCAGTTATCAAAAGTGTTTCACAATGAGTTTCCCAATTTTTTTCCAATTGGGAAAAGTGGGTGACGATTTCACGAGAGCGATTTGGGTTTTTTATTTTCAATCACAACACATCGAGGAGCGATGGAGGACCCGGCGCGATTTGCGGCAGTGTTGAATGGGGTGGTGAAGCGCACATTCGAGAACGATCAGCAAATCACACCTGCCTTCATCAAGGAGCAGGTCTTCCCCCAACACGAGGACGTCTCCGTCGACGGTGCCGCCCCG